ATATATATATATATATATATATATATATATATATATATATATATATATATATATATATATATATAAATTGTTTCTATTTATTGTTATTTTTACTAATGAAAGGATTAAAAAAAAAAAAAAAACGAGGCGCCAGAAGAAAGGGGATGAGAATTCCGACGACTCGTCAAAATTCTCGCACCCTCACCCTACACGTTTTTCCCGATACCAACAACCTTTAGTCGCACCTCATAGAATCAACTACAAATAAAAAAAACATGATATAGAGGGAAAACGAGGGAGATTAGAAGAAAAGACTGTTGAGTTACCTCACAACGAGCACGACGCCGACAACCACCCGTCAAGATTCATGGCGTCGTATAGTGGATAACACCATGGAAGAGAGGACTAACAAGTCCAAGAACACCATGATGCACACGAGTGATTACTATCAAACAGTGTTGTAGCTTTACTGGCAAAGAAGATGAACGTATTGCTAGTACAACTAAGATGTTTTCGAACATATAAGTCCATTTTAGTGTTGTTATGGGCCCGATAATCAATACATAGACGGAGGCTTGCGTCAAGCTTATTCTGGAAGTTCTCACTCCTTCCCGGGCAGACCTAATGATCCATAGGAGGCTCCACGGGAAGCTGCTGCACGACCTCTAACGCGACTATCTTAATCGCGAGATCGACCCCGCTTTTCCATTTATTATTATACTTATTTTAAATTTTCATCATATTTTAAGAAAAATTATATTTGAATTAATTTTCAACTTTTTACTTAAATAATAATATATTTAGCCTCAAATTAAAATAAAATATATAGATTTTGTTGCATTAAAAAAAGAAAAAAAAAAAAGAAAAAGGCCAGTAAGTACAGGCGGAGGTAGGGCCGTGGCAGTGGCCGAGACATCGGAGGGCGGCAAGAGAAAATAAGAGCATTCGACCGCCGAGGTGTCGGGGAAACACGGCATCCTATGACTTAATCCCACCAAATGTCGGCACCCGAACCCCCTCCTCTTTTACTACAACTTCAATATTACCTTATTTTACTACGATGCGTAGGATTCGAAATTCGGATCGAGTATATGATTATATCGATATTTTTTTTTATTTATTATTATTATTATTTTTTTGTAGTCGGGTAGGACATAATCATGTTACTTATTTTTTACCTCTAAGAGTGAGGACTATTTCCGTCTTTGCGTTATGGTCACGTTACTTGCTTTTCACTTTTAGAAGTGAAAACTGTTCCTACAAATAAACACGAGTTTTTTCGACATGTTTTTTTTTCTCGTTGACGTGTTTTTTTTTAATGGAATTCTTAAGATGCCACTGTAACAGTCTGAGATCATCGCTGGTAGATATTGTCTGTTTTGACTCGTTATGTATCGCCGTCAACTTCATAGTTTTAAAATGTGTCTACTAGAGAGAGAGTTCTACACTTTTATAAGAAATGTTTCGTTCCCCTCTCCAATCGATGTGAGATCTCACAATTCACTCACTTTAAGGGCCCCAATGTTCTCGCTGGCACACCACCCCGTGTCAAACTCTGATATCATTTATAACGGCTTGAGACTATCGCTAGTAAATATTATCTGCTTTGACATGTTACGTGTGCCATCAACTTCACGGTTTCAAAACGTGTCTACCAGGGAGATGTTTTTGCACCTTTTGTAAGAAATGTTTCGTTCTCCTCTCCAATCAATGTGAGATCTCACAATCCACCCTCTTGGGAGTCCAGCGTCCTCGTTGGCACACCACTCGATGTCTGATTCTAATACAATTTCTAAGAACATAAGACCATCGCTAGTAAATATTATCCACTTTGGCCCGTTACGTGTTGTTATCAGCCTCACAGTTTTAAAACGCATCTATTAGGGAGATGTTTCTACACCTATATAAAAAATACTCTGTTCCCCTCTCCAACCGACGTAGGATCTCACAACCACGAATTCCTTTAAGCAAAACACGCTAACTTTAGAGCTTCTATGATCGAGTCACCGAGAAAAAAGACGTCCCTTCTCGACACCGGTAGTAACTTTCCGTTTTCTTAGTCTTTCTTAATCATCAGTTCTCATAATCGCTATCATTCGAACATGGTCTCGATTCATTCATTCACATATTGCCACGTCTTATACCCACTAATTTCCTCCGTCTCGTACATAATCCCATCGATCATTCACGGTAACCATCGAACCAAATCATCAAACAAAGAGACTCACATACACACACAATTAGATCATAAGTTTCTACTCAAAAGGGAGTGTTCTTCCCCCACAAGAGCCTCATATAAAAAACAGAGCACCGTGGCAATGGCAATAACAATGGCTTCCTCTGCCTCCACTTCGGACATCGAAATCCACAGCCATCTCGGGTCCAAAACATTTGACCAAAACGCTCCAAAAACCAAAATCTCGGAACTTTCCAAGCCCTCCACACACTCCATTTCTAACCAAAACCACAATAATCCCCTGCTTCTCACTCGCACACAAACAGAGACAGAGACAGAGACAAAAAAAAGAAAAAAAGAAAAAAACATAAAAAGCTTCCGTTTTTTTCTCCCACTGATGTTCTTCACACTTTTAAAAACACCAGCAGCTCGATTTCACACAGTTTTTATCTGGGGCTCTGTTTTCTTTCCAACCCATTAATGGCGGAAAATCAATCCTCTGGTCGGGACCCAAAAACAGCAGCAGCTACCACTTTTTCTCAGCTTCTATTCTCTGCAAATCATGATGAAGATGATGATATCGATGTTGATAAACACCATCATGTTCATCACCAAATCTTTGAGTACTCTGTTTCTTCATCATTCGCCATTGAAAACCCCCCCAAGATGCTCTGTTTCGGCACCAAACAAGAGCAAGAACATCCCCAGCTGGGACTTAGATCAGCCCACGCATGCAGCGATTCCGTAAAGAGAAAAAATGGATCAAACCCAGAAACAACCGCCATTAAACCAGCTCCATTGTCGAACCAGAAAGCTTCAAAAAAGACCAAACCTGAAGCTCCCTGTTCTGCCGGACATGCAAAGGTCAGTCAGTTCTTGCGATGTTCTTGTTTTTTCTCTGTTTTTATAACATGGGTTTTGTTTATTTGGTGATATTAGAGGAAGGAGAAGCTAGGAGAAAGAATCACAGCGCTACAACAATTGGTTTCGCCGTTCGGCAAGGTTGCAGAAAAAAAAAAAACAGAGTATCTAATTTCATTACATTTTTGTCCATTTTCAAGAACTTGATATCAATTTTTGAATGTTGATGGCTTCAAAACAGACAGACACAGCTTCAGTTCTTCACGAGGCAATGGGTTACATCAAATTTTTACACGAACAAATTCAAGTCTTGTACAGTCCTTACCTGGACAAGAATCAGCTGGTAAGCACTCTGTTTCAAAAAAAAAAACAGAGCATTTTCCTGTTCTTCTTTGATTTTAAGCCATTTCTTCGCTTTGTTTCGCTGAAGGGAGGAGGAAATGGGGACACAGAGGGGGAGCTGAAAGGGAGAGGCCTGTGTTTGATTCCGGTGGAGTGTAGCTTGCATTTGGCGAACTGTACGGTGGCGGACTTTTGGTCGCCGGCGATGGCTATGGGGAGGAAGCTCTGAGGAGGAAGGAGGGTTTTGGAGTTTGATGTGTATATAGTTTTGATGTTTTTTTTGAGTTAAATGAATCAGAAACAGAGCAGAAGAAGCTGTAAATCCAGAGTTCTTTTTTTGATGGGAAAGAAATAGATGTGAAAAGATGTTCTTTTTTTTGTTCTTTTCCTGTTTTTTGGGGTTTGAGTTGTCGGACTTGTTTATTTTGATGATTGTTTTGGAGTAGAGAGATGAGTGGCACTTTTGTTTTGTGGGTTTTGTTTGCTTCAAAAGTTTCTTATTAAAACGTCAAATTATAAGTTTAGAGTTTAAAACGTAAAATTATAAGTTTAGAGTTTAGAGTTTAGTTTGCATAGCATCGTATTGTATGTGAGATCCTACATCAATTGAAGGGAGTAACGAAATCGATTGGAGATGAGACCGAGTGTCAGCGAGGATGCTGGGCCCTAAAGGGTGTGGATTGTGAGACCCTACATTAGTTGGGGAGAAGAACAGATTTCTTTGTAAGAGTGTGGAAACCTCTCTTCAGGAAGCTCGAAAGAAAAAGCTCAAATAAAGGAAAAGCCAAAAATGACGTTGACGGTTTGGTGCAAGTTCTTTCCATCTCGATAGCCTATGATCGACAATGATTTTATTTATTGGCCCTTTTTTATTTCATGACTTTTGGGTATTTTGATATGGATCAAATCTATTTCAGGACTCTTTTTATTGATATTGTAGGGTCGTCAAAATCAAATCTTATGTATCTATGATGAAATTTCGATACCAGTCTATGACGTCCAAAGTCGAAACATGAACCTTTTGACGAAGTATATTTAATGAAACAATAACGAGTAGTGGTCATAAACAGTAGATTTGTGGCAATTCGAAAAGTCATTTGATGTGGTTGATCATTTTAACATTCGAAATTCGCAACAATCAATCCATTTTAAAATTGTTTGGATATACAAAAGCTAAGACCATTCTCACCGTGCATACAAACTCTAGAACTAATCAAACAACAACGATAAGCTTTCAGGACAGTCAATGGCCGACGCCACGGTGGCTCGGCTCGAAATAAGCTTTGTGTACATGAAGTTTTGTCGTCGGAGAAGTCGAGGAAGAAGGGTCGTGTTCGAGAGGTCTCGAGGAGTGGACTTGAATGGAAGAGAATAAGAGGAAGAAGATGAAGATGGCAATGGCATTAAGAGCCCAAAGGAGAGACTGAGATTTCATTATATTAGAAAATGCATAGAAAGGCTTAGTGTTTATATAAGAAAAGGTTGAAGTTTGGGGTCTTGACTTTAGGGCACAGGTGTGTTATTTATTTATTTATTATTAACCGTTCAAGATCACCGCAAGTAGATATTTTTCGTCTTGGCCAATAACGTATCATCATCAGCCTCACAGTTTTAAAACACGTCTATTAGGAAGAGGTTTCCACACCCTTATAAGAAGTGCTTCGTTCCACCCTCCGACCGATGTGAGATCTCACATTCTACCCCCTTAAGGGCCCAGCGTCTTCACTGGCACACCGCCCAGTATCTTTCTCTAATATCATTTGTAACAGCTGAAGCCCACCGCTAATTGATATTGTTCACTCTTGCTTGTTACATATCGTCATCGGTCTCATGGTTTTAAATCACATCTATTAGGGAGAGGTTTCCACACCCTTACAAAGAGTGTACTTTGTTTCCCTCTCCCACCACTGTGAGATCTCACGGTATCATTAATCACAGGGAGTGTACATTGGTTGGGTTGGATTTAGATTGAAAAAACTTTTGAACCAACTCGAAAGCTCGATTGGTTGGTTGATAACCCTAGCAATCTAAATAGAGTTCACAACCTAACTCAACTTAACCCTCTGTTTTCGGGGTCCATGTCAGTTATTATTGAGTTAGGTTCACGTGAGTTCATTTGTTGCTAAATTTTGGTTCGTGCAACAAGATGATAACGCAACTCTAGCTCAACTATGGTCTTAACTCGTTTCGACATACGTAACAAGGTGGTGGAATGCTTAATTCATTGATTCTCATCGACCATAAATATTATTGTATTTATGTGTTGCTATGAATTTATTATGTCGATATAGTTACTAGGGGTTTTGTTCTCCTCCTCACCAGTGTGGGACTCTCACAATCCACTCCCTTTCGAGGCCTAGTGTCCTCGCTAACACTTGTTCCTTTTTCTCCAATTGATATGGGACCACCACCAAATCCACTCTCCTTTAGGGCCGAGCATCCATACTGGCACACCGCCTCGTGTCTACCTCCATTCGGAGAACAGCGAGAAGGCTGACACATCGTTCGATGTCTGGCTCTTGTAACTGCCCAAACCCACCACTAGAAAGCATTGTCATCTTTGGACTTTCCCTCAAGGCTTTAAAACGTGTTTGGTAAGGGAAGGTTTCCACACCCTTATAAATAGTATTTTTGTTCTCCCCAATCAGCGGGACTCTCACATTAGTTGCTATATTTTAGGTCGTGCAACAAGGAGACAACGCAACTTAAGTTCAATTACGGTCTTAACTCATTGGGACTTGCATAGCAAATGTATGGACAATGAGAAAAGAAAATAGAAATTGAATTGTACTCAAATAGAAAATATTCAAACTATAGACTTGAATGAAATTTGACCAACAAATAACCAGAAATAGAATTATGAAATATTAAGAAGTGAACCACGTTGTTTGTATTACTGTATTAGGGTTGACCAAGTCAAGCCCGATCAAGATTAGGTTAAAAAATCGTTTTGGAATCACACAATAACGCACACACTCGATCTAAATGAACGCAAAGAAAGGATTTGAGGAAATAGATTGTATGTCCAGAGAACGAGAGAATTGAGGAAGAAACTCATCCAGAAAAGTCACAATACTTTATGGGCCGGACACTCGGGGGAGGGTGCCCCGAGTGTGATTTTGTTTACCGCCATTAGACTGACCACCCAACATTTATATTTCCCAAATTTCTGGACCTTACACCAATGAAAAAGTTAAGTGGAAGGTACCACCATATTTGGCAGCAATAGTTCTTCTCAAAGTGCCACTTTTTCAGCTTGGAAGCGCCATCTCCACTTTGCTAGAAGGGCTTGAGATTGTTGTGTTTTAATCTACAAATACCCAGACCACCTTGTTTTCATTTAGTGAGATGGGAACCGCCTGGGCCTGTCTTTACTACCATGCCAAAGGAAATTTCTGAAGAAGCAGATACTTTGTTCTCCACAGCTTAACTTCTTTATCACCTAGTAGAGTGGTAGCACTTCCATATGAACATTTTACCTATACTTCATACAATTGTAAGAACAAGACATTACATACATTGTTTAAAGATTGTCAAATGATGATCAAGTTGTAATATGCGTCACTGAATTATTGAAGGCATCTTACCCTGCACATACATTTCCATCGCAACGCTATCTGGTCAAAACGTAGTATGAGTGAAGAGTCTACACCTTCAAACTTCCGCCGTAGAATTCATTGACTGCTCCCTGATGATTTGAAGTGCAATGAGAATTGAGTACACAAAAAATTGAACAACTTCAATAAAGAAATAAAGATGCCATAGCTACAAAATTTAGCCTGTTAAATTATGTATCTTCAATATATATATAAATATATATATATATATATATCCATCTCCAACGACATATTAAAAGAAAAGGAAAGGTCCAACAGAACAATTCTATCGAAGGAATTGCACGAGCAATTTGTGAGAGGAATCACAGGCTAGGGTCTTGTCTTAAGGATACATCGAGAGGGAACAAACTTGTTTTTAGAAGGATTACACTTTCTCCTTGCAGAACTATTTTTCAGATTTTTGTAACTAAAATTATTTTTTTCCAACGGCAGACGAAAGGATTTTTCGAGTTAATTCCTTGTCACCAATTATATTTTCGTTTGCTAGTGAATGTCTTGTGTGCGGATCTAGTAGGACTCTAAAAGGCCTTGAGTCACTTCCACTTGTCATTTAAGTGCAGAATGAGAAGCACCTAATCTATACATGTTGCACGTTGTTTATAAAAAGACCAACACATAAAGGTTAACCATACCTCTCTACTCATTTTCAAGGCACGATGCCAAAAACTAAAAAGGGGCACTAATGACATGAAAAACCATTGATTTAAAACCGAAAAATTGTTGTATGGTTGATGTCTTGATTCATTCTCGGAGCTCTCTCTCCTTCATTCGAGTTCCGTTGTTATTTGTCTAATAGGGAACGACAGGTTATAGCTATCCTTTCTTTATTGGGAGACTTTGAACTTAGAAGGGATAAGAGAACACATTTGGAGTCCTAGTCCCTGAGGGTTTTTTCATAGATCTTGCCTCCGTTCGGAAGGTGAAAATGTTAAAAAAGGTAAAGTTCTATGTCTGGTAGGTTATCTATGGAAGAATCAATACTTTGGAGAAACACCCTTTTCTCTAGGGTGTTTCCTTTTGTGAGCTTGTTTTTTGTATGTTCTTTCATTTTATTCACAATGAAAATTGGCTTTTTATCAAAAAAAAAAAAAAGAAACAAAGATCTCAATTAGCATTTTAAGGCAATAACCTGAAGGTAAGGATCGATAATGTTGAAGACTTCCAGAAAAACCTGGGATTTCATCGCTAACCTGAAACAAAAACAAAGGATAACACAATGAAGACTAGAACTAATGTAATTCCAACATTATATCAGCATGGTCATGTCTAAAATTCCAGAAAAGAAGAATAAAAAGGGTGGATGATAAATATCATAGAAGCAGATAGCAACGCAAGACCACTTGAAACAGAGGCACAAAATTTCAAGCCTGCATCACCAGGTCATCTCAACAAACATACAAAATTACCTCTTAAGAAGATGAAAACAAGCATAGGTCTCCTCGATGTCCAGCTCTATCTTTAACTTAAAGTACTCCTTAAGAAGTTCACATAAACCGTAAATAGCACCATCCCAACCATCAGATTCCGGAACTGAAGGATGCCAAGATTTAGATAAAGTCCTCAGCAAAATCCCATACAGATTTCCAGGTGACCCCAATTCTGTATACGTCTCTGCAAGAAATTGTAATATCAAGCAATTACTGGCTTTAAACTTATCAACCCATAGAGGAGGGTTCCCAGACCAAAGACCATTCTCCGTGAAAGAGTCTATTGAGCCAGACGTACTGGCAGTGGCATCACAAGATTCGTGATGAATTTTTA